TGTATATATATATATACTCCCTTTCATGCCTACTAGCATTTTGTTGAGGATTTCTGCAACTGTGTTCATAAAGAGTGTTGGTCTGTAGTGTTCTTTTCTTGTGATATTTCTTTGTCTGCCTTTGGTATCAGGGTAATATAGGTCTCATAGAATGAATTGGGGAGCGTTCCCTTCTTTTCTGTTTTTTAGAAGAGTTTGTGAAGGATTGGTGTTAATTTGTCTTTAAATGTTTGATAGAATTCACCAGTGAGACCATGTGGTTCTGGGATTTTCCTTATTTCTATAAGGTCAGTAGTGAGGCCCCTCTTCCCCTCCCCCCTCTGTATTTTGATAATTTCGTGTCTTTGGGTTTTTTTCTTGGCTAAAGGTTTGTCAGTTTTGCTGATCTTTTCAAAGAACCAACTTTTGGCTTCATTGATTTTTCTGTTGTTTCTATTCTGTATTTCATTTATTCACTAATTTTTATTCCTTTTACTTCATTTGAGTTTAGTTTTCTGTCTTCTGGTTTTAAAGGTAGAAGTTTAGATTATTGGATTATTGCCTTGAGATCTTTCTTTTTTTTTTTTTAATATAGGCATTTACAGTTCCAAATTACCCTCTAAACACAGCTTTTGTGTTTTGATTACTTGTTTTTGTTTTTCAGAGGCAGAACCTCACTGTGTTGTTGGTGCTAGAGAGCAGTGGGACAATCACAGCTCCCTGCAGCCTCAAACCCCGGGCTTGAGTGATCCTCCTGCCTCGGCCTCCCAAGTAGCTGGGACTACAGGCATGTGCCACCATGCCTGGCGAATTTTTTAATTGTTTGTAAACACTGGATGTCACTATGTCACCCAGGCTGGTTTTGAACTTCTGGACTCAAGCAGTCCTCTCTCCTCAGCCTCCCAAAGTGTTGGGATTACAGGCATGAGCCACGGTGCTCAGCCTGCTTTTGTTTCTTTGCGGCTGGAGTGCAGTGGCGCCATCATGGCTCACTGCAGCCTCAACTTCCTGGGCCCAGGTGATTCTCCTACCTCAGTCTCCTGTGTAGTTGGGACCACAGACATGTGCCATGATGCCCAGCTAATTTTTTGTAGTGTGTGTGTGTATATATAGGGTTTCTCCATGTTGCCCAGGCTGGTTTTGAACTCCTGGGCTTCAGATTACAGGCGTGAGCCACCACACCCGGCCCTGCTTTTGTTTTTAAGGTGGAAGATTAGGTTATTTATTTGATGTGATCTTTTAAAAATATAGACATTTACAGCTGTGTGTTTCTCTTTGAGCTCTGCTTTAGATATAACCCGTAAATTTTGATTTTTAAAATTCACTCATCAGCCGGGCACAGTGGCTCACGCCTGTAATCCCAGCACTTTGGGAGGCCGAGGTGGGCAGATCACAAGGTCAGGAGTTCAAGACCAGCCTGGCCGACATAGTGAAAGCCCATCTCTACTAAAAATACAAAAAAAAATTTGCCAGACATGGTAGTGTGCGCCTGTAGTCCCAGCTACTCAGAAAGCTAAGGCAGGAGAATTGCTTTAACCTGGGAGGCGGAGGTTGTAGTGAGCCAAGATCATGCCATTGCACCCCAGCCTGGGCAACAGAGCAAGACTTGGCCTCAAAAAAAAAAAAAAATTCACTCATCTCAGATATTTTAAAATTACCCTTGTGATTTCCTCTTAGACCCATTGATTGTTTAGGAATTTGTTGTTTAAAATCCAGGCCAGGCACAGTGGCTCTCGCCTATAGTCCCAGCACTTTGGGAGGCTGAGGCGGGCTGATCACCTGAGGTCAGGAGTTCGAGACCAGCCTGGCCAACATAGTGAATGAAACCCATTTCTACTAAAAATACAAAAATTAGCTGGGTGTGATGGCGGCACCTGTAATCCCAGCTACTCAGGAGGCCGAGGCAAGAGAATCGCTTGTACCTGGGAGGTAGAGGTGGCAGTGAGCCAAGATTACACCACTGCACTCTAGCCTGGGTGACAGAGCGAGATTCCGTTAAAAAAAAAAAAAAACACTATACATTTGTGAATCCCTTTCTTTTGTTGATTTCTAATTTTCCTTGTTGTCAAAGAATATACTTTGATTTTCTCTTTTAATTCATTGAGGCTTTTTTGTGACCTATTGTCTGGTTTATGTTTAATGTACACTTGAGTAGAGTACGTATTCTGCTGTTGTTTGGTGGGGTGTTATGTAAACGTCTGTTAGGTTTTTAGTGTTTGCTGATCAAGTCTTTCTAACTCCTTGTTGATCTTCCGCCTTGCTGTTCTGTCTGTTAGGAACCTGGCCCTGCCAACACCTTGATTCTGGACTTCCAGCCTCCCAAACTGAGACACTTAATTTCGGTGTGAAGTCACCGCATTTCTTCTGTTACAGCCACCCTGACACAGGCTGAACGAGCTTAATCTAGCATGGAAATAAGTGGCAACCTCAGACAGTGCTTGAAGGAGGCAGAACAGATTGGCCGTTTTGTGTGTGTGCGTGTGTGTGCGTGTGTGTGCATGTGCTGTGTATGGTTGTATTCTGCTGATTAAAGGTGTGGATCCTTGGACTGTTGTGTGATTTCAGGTGCGTGTGTGTGTGTGTGCACATTTGCGTGGGTGCACGTGTGTGTGCTGTGTATGGTTGTATTCTGCTGACTGGAGGCATGGATCCTTGGACTGTTGTGTGATTTCAGGTGCGTGCGTGTGTGTGTGCATGCGTGCGTGTGTGCATGCATGCGTGTGTGTGTGTGCTGTGTATGGTTGTATTCTGCTGACTGGAGTCGTGGATCCTTGGGCTGTGGTGTGATTTCTGGTCCTGACTGCGTTTCACCACTTCCCTGCACTACAACTGGCAGACTGGAGGCAGCACGGCTGGAAGGGAGTGGTGGAGAGGGCAGCCGTTGTGGGTGAGATCAATGCATTTTGTTTACTACACATAAAATCTCATTCCTTCATTGAATTTCAGGTCATTCAAAAAGTCTTCAAGATTTTCTTCACAGCGGGGAATAATGACAGATGTTTACAGAGAAAAGTTGCTGCTGCTTTTTTAGACAGTTTTCAGCAGGTTTCCCTCTATCCTCTGCAGGCACATCCTTGTGATGCCCAGGGCTGACTTGGCTTTTCTGATCCTCCGCTAACCTGTGTGTCCAGTTCCCGGCCTGCCCTTCCTCAGTTTTGTACATAATTGTAATACACTTTGCTAAAGGAAAACTTCTCTCTATAATTGTCATGTGCTGTTTGTGCCTAAAAGGTCACCTATTTAATGATATAAAAAATGTCAGTCAGTGACTGATTTTTTAAAAGATTCCATTTATTTGGAATGCACCGTCTTCCCTTTGGCCCTCGAAATGCAGTCACACTGCACTTGTGCCCTGACCTATCTGTGTTCAGGGCACTGGATCACTGCAGCTGCACCTTATCCGTGTATTCATGCAGCCAGATATTTCTCATAGTTTCACACTGCTAGCAAAATTGGCGCTTCTTGTACTATTAACCTTGTAGAAAATATGTTTGCTTTTCAGAATGCAGTAGCATCCCATTATGATACTACGCGGACTCAGCTATACCAGCGACAGGTGGCGGAAATGTCATCGCCTCCTCCCTGAGCTGTGGCACTATTGGTTCGTAATAGGGTATTCAGCTGTAACTTCCAGTGTCCGCATCGGAAAGCACCATACAATCTTCCGAGGGAGTTTAAACTTTTTTTTTTTTTTTTTTTTGAGATGGATCTTGCTCTGTCGCCCAGGCTGGACTACAGTGGCACAATCTCGGCTCACTGCAACCTCCGCCTCCT